TGAAGTGGAACCAAATATAGATATCAAGGCAGAACAGGAGAAAGACTATGAAGCTATCTTATGATAAGAGATCTACTGAAGTCCGCTTTGTACCAGGAGACAAGGTATGGTTGTATAATCCCACGAAGACCAAAGGGAAGTATCCTAAGTGTTTTCTCCATGGGAAGGCCCATATGACATAGTGGATCGTCTCTCAGACGTGACTTTCCAGGTAAAATGTGGTCGGCGAGGTAAGCCAAAAGTGGTGCATGCCAACAGGCTTTGGCGTTATCACAGTCCAGGACATTTCAGTTGGGACGAAGTGAACAACAGAACAAATGACGCTGCTGAAGACGTGCCACCTGCAGAAGCCACCGTCGAAGAAGAAACTCTACTTAGTTTTGAGAAGGGAAACGGTGAAGCTCTTGATGAAGTTACTACCACTGATGTGACTGTTACTGACGATAGGACATTTCCTGAAGAAGCAGATGAACTCCGTTTGAAGCAGAAGCCAACCAGACGGAGACGAGTACGAAGAAGATACGTCCCGTAAAATTAAGAGACTTTGTTGAATTGTGATTTTGTATTTGTAATTCTGTACATTTAATTAAGTTATTGTTAATTGTTATTGGTTTATTGTAAGTGGCTATTGTTCGGGACAAACAATACTAAGGAGGGAGCAGTGTTGCGTCAGCGAGGTCACGTGACTAGTATCACGCCACTTCTTTCTCGAACCTTCGTGAATTATCGGGAGATTACTAGATTGGGGTAGCCTGGTATATATAAGATGGTCACAACGTGACGGGACAATGTGTAGGTAGTGAGTAATTGAACTGCAGTCAGAGAGTGTGCAATTGAACTCGAGCACGTGAGACGTTCGTTGAGAATTATAGCGCGACTTTTGAAATTAAGTGTATCGTAAAGTTGTATTCGGAGAGAATAAACCAGTTTTATTTAAGAAAGGACTTGTGTCGCTAAAGTGTAGTCGGAAAGAATTTACGGAAAATTAACTAACGACTGGAGGCGTAACAATACCAATAACTGTTACAGCTACAAAACAAAGTTTTTCATGATTAAAACTAGTGAAGACATACCTACACTTTACTATGACACAAGAGAGGCTTAGTACATTGGCTGTCCTCTCCATTTAACAAGACACTATCTGTTGACTTCCAAGAACTTATTACTGAATTTATGCTTTCAATTTGCTCATGATATGGAAATTGAATTTTAGATATGTACGTTATATATGTTACATTCATCATGTGTTCATTCATTACCTGGAATATCTATAATGCTTTCAGATTTAATGTATGGTATTTCTTTTGTAAAATAAATGTTACTCTATAATTATGTGTTTATGTGTATGTTTAGTTCCTACAGGAGGTCATATAATGGGTCTTCACCTAGGCCCCCAGATGACCTAAGGTCGCCACTGTTAATTAAGGGGGTCACTGGTGGAAGGCAACAGGAGCAGATATCTAATCAAATTCAGGAGTCCCATATGACAGTTTCTGTAAGACACTTCTAGTCAGACTGTATAAATACATATACACAAATTACACTATAGTGTAGGGCTCCCAATTAAATTTTGGGGCCTACACTAGGTCAGCCGTCTTTGCCCTCCCCTCCAAACCATTTGTGAAATGGCATTCTTGCCCATAATAATTAACACTATCTATGTCGTTGGTCGTTCTCACACATTATAGTTAAGGGTGTAACTCATAGATATTGGTGGTCGTTTCTGTCGTTGTCCTGTTTTGCATAATGTGCAAAGGTGCATAAATATTTCCACGGGCAGAGTAGGTAATCTACCAGAGAACAACAAAGAATTGTTTGTTTGTTTCTTTTTGAATTTCGCGCAAAACTACACTAGGGCTATCTGCGCTAGCCGTCCCTAATTTTGCAGTATAAGACTAGAGGGAAGGCAGCTAGTCATCACCACCCACTGCCAACTCTTGGGCTACTCTTTTACCAACGAATAGTGGGATTGACCGTCACATTATAACGCCCCCCCACGGCTGAAAGGGCGAGCATGTTTGGTGGGACGGAGATTCGAACTCGCGACCCTAACATTGCGAGTCGAGTGCTCTAACCACCTGGCCGAACAACTAAGAAACAAAAGTAACTAAAATTAAACAACTAAACAGTTTTCTACACCACGTGTCTATGCGAAAACTATATACAATCGGACTACACAGACATTTTTTTAAAGTTCTTTTATTAATAACAGAAGATAGAAAATATGTTGTATGCATATATAATAAGTACACAGTTACAATAAACCAAGGTACACTTTGGGTCTATCAAATGTAATATATATGTAGGTAGTATGCTTTGACAAAAAATTAATGATTATTATTAGATTAAGAGTAAATATTGTAAGAAGTGTTTTGCTATAAGATAAACGATAGAATTTTGTCTACTTTTGTGGTTAAAGATCATAATCAAAGAAATATACAGTGTGTACTTTCGCAATGTAGAAAATGGAGAATTACATCACTTCAAATTTAATTAAAGGTGTGTACATTATAGCCATTAAAATATCAGTTTCGGAGATATATTTGTGCTCAATACTGTGCTAAATTATTTACACAAAAGAATAAATGTGCTACGCTGCAGTTTTACTTTTTAAATATTTAATAGCATATTACTCTCATAAAATTGAAGAGCAACGAGCAGCAGGTGTAAAATCGCTAATATTACGTGATGAGGAGGGGTATGACTATTCATAATACTATAGTTTGTTAGTGACGAAAAATTACAACTATGCCTTTAATTTTAAACAATGTCTTCAGTTTATAAGCAATAATAAATATTCTGAGAAGTTTAACTTGTAAATGTATTCGCTTTATGAAAATTGGAAAGGGCTTGTTTTGGTGCTATGAACGTTATGTTATTAGGTACCTCTTACTCTTATACGACAACTAACACTAGTAACAGTAACACTAGTCTAGACTAGTTCAGTAGTTGTACTGTACTACGAAAATTATATACTGTGATAAAACCCTAATGACTGATACTTAAACTTTTTTTTGGGGGGGGATAGCAATGAAAGTAAAACATACTTTAATGTATGTGCAACGTGAGACTATTTTATCCTTCAATTTTCAACATTGTCCTTGGAAGTTGTACAAACCAAAACCCACCTTTGAGTTTGACACGAAGTTTCAGGAAAGTAAGATTTAAACCCACGCTTTAATAATATATAGGCCTTATATTTCAGGAAATAATTAATTCGTCTCTTAAGTTTCTATAAAGTACTGGTCTTCACTACTGTTTATAGCAATTCCTTCCACAAATCAATTACTTTTTTTTAACTTTAGAACTAAAAGAATAAAACTAAACTGGAACCTAGCAGAGACATTCTCACTATCAGTCTATCTGATAATCTTGTAAACAGAAGATACATCTTACACTTCTTTCCTGAAGAGGAAGTATATTAAGGGATCTTGACCCTTCCATCCCAGGATTCACTCTAGTAGTTTTCCTATTGACCCTCTCCATTACAGAAGATTAAAAAATGGCCAATCTTACTTTTGAAGGGAGATGATAAAAATTGTACCAGTAATTATAGGTCTATTAGTCTTGCATCAGTTGTTGGAAAATGTTTTTAAAAGTTTAGTAAAGATTATTTTGCAAAATCATTTACCAAAGTGTAAAATTTGGTTGGATAGACAGCATGGTTTCATTAGAGTGAAATCTTGCTTTACTAATTTTTTGGTATTCGTATTAAGAGGTTACTGCTTATATAGATAAGGATGTGGGTGTAGATTTGATATCTGCATTTTGCAGGAAGCATTTGGCAAAGTACAACAAAAAAGGCTTCTTAAAGAAGTTATATCTGTAGATTTGGGGAATAGTTGGGTTCATTGCAAATAAAACTGGCTGAATGGAAGAAAGAAGAGGGTTATCTTAAATGGAGTTCAGTCCAACTGGATTAATGTTACAAGTGGGGTACCACAGACCCTAGTGTTAACCCATTCACTGCAGCTGGGAAATGTCTCAGCTGCAATGAAAGGGTTAAGACCCTTGCTCTTCCTGATTTACATCAATGGCATAGATGAAGGAATGGTAAATAAATCATTCAATTTGTTGATAATGATAGAGTTTTGGGTGTTGCTGGTTCTGAGGAGGATACTGCTGCTTTACAAAAAAAAAATTGGAGAGTTGGGTGATTAATGGCAGATGGCTGTTAATTATGAATTAAACAAATAAATGGCAGATGGCTGTTAAGTATATAATATTCAAGTTAATGCATGTGGGATATCACAGTTTGAATTATGAGTATAATTTTGATGGAAATAATTTTAATAGTGTTATGGAAGAAAAGGATCTTGATGTTATTATTAATCAGTCTCTTTAGCCATCCAGGCAATGTGCTGTTCCTAAAATTTTAAGCTGTATCTACAGAAATATCGAGAACAAGTCTGAAGAGCTAATAATGTCATTGGTTAGGCCACATTTGGAGTACTGTGTTCATTCTTAGGCTTCTTACCCTAGAAAGGACATTGAATTGTTGCAGAAGGTACAGCAGAAGGCTACTAGGATGATTTCTGGGATGGAAAAGTTATCATATGAGGATAGTTTAAAATCTCTGGTTGTTAACAGAATTGATAGTGTTGATGCATCACCATTTTGTGTATTTAATGTGAGAATGATAAGTCTAGGACTGTATTGTCAACAAATACGAATTGACAGAATAGTCATCATTTTCAGCTAATAGTAATACAGCTTTATTTGGTAGATGCAGTTGATTTCAGGGAGTTAAGGGAAAGCTTGATATATACTTAAATGGCAAAGGCTGGCTTTCAGTGTTTTATTTTTACTTCATAATTTAGTTTAGTATAGTGAATGGGATGGCTTCAATGGATCAGTAGATCCCTCATTGTACTTATGTCAGTATTCTTAGGTAATGATACCAAAACTGTACACAGTATTCAAAGTGAGGCCTAACTAGTAATTTGGACAGAAGTTACCTCCTTTGACTTACATTTAATATATCTGTAAATAAACCCTAAAATTGTTCTACTACTAGCAATAAAGTACTGCTCCAATAATCATGAGTGACTTACGCATTACTATGCCAAGATCTTTTTTTATAGTCATGTTGTTTTGTGGGTTCCCATATATCTTATGATCCAAATTATGATAACCCAAATGCATTAACTTGCACATACTATAATTAAAAGTCATTTGCCTTGAATTTGTCCCACTTAATTGATCAAAGTCATTCTGTAATGCCTCGTTCTTAGTAAAGCTGAAATGAGGTTAATGTTATCCCCAAACTTTATTAATTGTACCTCTATAACAGACTAAACAAAACACTGCTAAAACCAGGGTCAGACCGAAACAGTTTATTAAAATATATCAGAAATCCAAAGAGAAACTTTCAAACACCAAGAATACAAATTTTATAACTTTTAAAACCTGTGCGTGGCTAGGACTACATATAGACATTAATAAGTAATATAACATAAATCTTAATGTGATTAATTTCATTAAGTATCAAAAAAAGTACACAGTGTTTCAAAATTAAACTATATCGTGTGAACTAACTCATTTTCAAGATCAAGGAAGGCTTTTGATATAGTGATTAGACCCTGATGTTGTATCTCGTACAACTGACTATTACCATGAGCCTACAAAATCTTTCACATTAATATCTGTATGTCACTACAAGGAGAATCTTGTGTCAGTTTCATAATACATATATATGGAAAATATGTGCTCTAGACACAAGATGATTTAGCACTTTTAACTCAAAATTCATAGTTGAACTAAACAATAAAGTTCTTTTTGTGTCAGACATTATTTTTGCTGTACTGTTTTGATAAGCTCTTGATGTCAGCTTTATATATTTGTATATAGCATATCTCAAATTAAAAATTAATTTCAAAAATGCTCCTAAAATGATTACCTTTTAATAAAATATTTTAAGAAATCTTAGGTTTAAGTTATTTTAAAAATAACCCTGTCTCTCAAACTCAGTGTGAGCTTTTATGTTTCAAAATGGGGACATGAGCCCTTCTGGGTTAAAAATAGCAGTAATATAAGCAATTCTCAGATACCTCTCCACTTTCTATTATCATTGTTATTCTTTATCTGATCATGGTGTTTTTTATATTCGAAGGTATATTGGTGTATGAAATCCATATAAATTAATTATTTGTTAGCAAGGAGGTTTCAAATTACCTTGCAAATTTAATTTTTTCTGACACAATTCTAATACGTCATTGTGTCAGTCTAACAAATAGCAGTATAGGTGTAATAAAACAATTTGTAATTACTAGCAAAGTTAAAGAAAACTACATACATACACTACAGACTAGTTCTTTCTCACCTACTCTTGAGAAAAGTAAAAATTGAAACCCACCCAACTTTTTCAAAAAATCATCAACTCATTTCATAAACTCTTATAAAGTGCTGGTCTCCACTGCTGCCATTAAACTCTTATAAATTGCTGGTCTCCACTGCTGCCAATCAAAATATTTCTAAAGCGCTGGTCTCCACTGCTGCCAATTAAATTCTTATAAAGTGCTGGTCTACACTGCTGCCAATCAAACTTTTCTAAAGTGCTGGCCTCCACTGCTGCCAATCAAACTTTTCTAAAGTGCTGGTCTCCACTGCTGCCAATTAAATTCTTATAAATTGCTGGTCTCCACTGCTGCCAATTAAACTTTTCTAAAGTACTGGTCTCCACTGCTGTCAACTAAACTCTTCTAAAGTGCTGGTCTCCACTGCTGCCAATTAAACTTTTCTAAAGTGCTGGTCTCCACTGCTGCCAATTAAATTCTTATAAATTGCTGGTCTCCACTGCTGTCAATTAAACTCTTATAAATTGCTGGTCTCCACTGCTGCCAATCAAACTTTTCTAAAGTGCTGGTCTCCACTGCTGCCAATTAAATTCTTATAAATTGCTGGTCTCCACTGCTGCCAATTAAATTTTTATAAATTGCTGGTCTCCACTGCTGTCAGTTAAACTTTTCTAAAGTGCTGGTCTTCACTGCTGCCAATTAAACTCTTATAAATTGCTGATCTCCACTGCTGCCAATTAAACTCTTATAAAGTGCTGGTCTCCACTGCTGCCAATTAAACTCTTCTAAAGTGCTATTCTCCACTGCTGCCAGTTAAATTTTTATAAATTGCTGGTCTCCACTGCTGTCAATTAAACTCTTATAAATTGCTGATCTCCACTGCTGCCAATTAAACTTTTCTAAAGTGCTGGTCTCCACTGCTGCCAATTAAACTCTTCTAAAGTGCTAGTCTCCACTGCTGCCAATTAAATTTTTATAAATTGCTGGTCTCCACTGCTGTCAGTTAAACTTTTCTAAAGTGCTGGTCTTCACTGCTGCCAATTAAACTCTTATAAATTGCTGATCTCCACTGCTGCCAATTAAACTCTTATACATTGCTGGTCTCCACTGCTGCCAATTAAATTTTATAAATTGCTGGTTTCCACTGCTGCCAATTAAATTTTTATAAATTGCTGGTCTCCACTGCTGCCAATTAAATTCTTATAAATTGCTGGTCTCCACTGCTGTCAATTAAACTTTTCTAAAGTACTGGTCTCCACTGCTGCCAATTAAACTCTTATACATTGCTGGTCTCCACTGCTGCCAATTAAATTTTTATAAATTGCTGGTCTCCACTGCTGTCAATTAAACTTTTTTAAAATGCTGGTCTCCACTGCTGCCAATTAAACTTTTGTAAAGTGCTGGTCTCCACTGCTGCCAATTAAACTCTTATAAATTGCTGGTCTCCACTGCTGCCAATTAAACTTTTGTAAAGTGCTGGTCTCCACTGACATTAATGGAAACTTGTTCTATAAGTCAGTTCCCCAGATAATCTTGTAAGCTTTACCCATTTTTTCTCAAGAGAAAATAAATAGGTATTTAAACCTTTCTTTGTGAGATAATCTTGGAAATCATAGTAGTCCTTTTCAAAAAGTCATTATTTTTTGTTAGATAAGGAGATCAAAACTTTTAAAGTATTCCAAATGAGGATTAACTAATGATTTCTGTAGAAAGGTAAGTATCTAATCTGACCTAAATTCAGTATTTTCAACAGAATACTTAGGGTCAAGAATATTGATAATATCTTTCCTTGTAAGAAAAGAGGAGAGAACATTAAAAAAATATAGTATATGATAGTTTTAAACAAGCACCTTGCCATAAACATGAGTTTCTGCTAGTTTTTTTTAGGTTACAATGAACATTTTTGCTTTTAAAATACTTTTAAGAGAGATCACGCTGTTTTGTTAGCACTTAATCATAGTTAAATTACTAAAAGTTTAAAAAATGTTAATGAATTCATGTGAAAATGGCACTATTTCTTCTTGGGAGAAAAAATACAGCAGAATTGTTTGGTTTTAAATATTTTTTTTTTCACAGTTCACATTGCTGGTACTAATTTGACCAATACCATTATTACTAGACATATTCTAAATATGTGAGAAAGAGTGACTGAAAGCATAAAAATTAACAGTAAGGATTTCCTTAATCATATTTCAGGGTAAATAAAACATTAGGAACAGAGAATACCTTTTACAAGCTGTTGAAACATGATTGTTACAAATGGATTATATAAATAATGTTCCAATCATTAATGTGTTTATTGTATCCCGGCCACCCTGAAGAGCTTTGTATTGAGTGAAATGTATTGTTGACAATGGATATGACAAATATAGTGTGGTTGAAGTACCACTATTAGAACTATTATAATTCTAGATAAAAAATGTAGTCTTCAAAAATATAATAGGCTTAACACGAATGTATTTATATTTAATCACTTTATATTTTTACTAATGATTTAAGTAATAATCCTTATTCTGAAAAGATGTTAATGGAAACAAGATGATCACATTAGTTTTAGGCATTTTTTACAAAGCTTCTGGTCCACATAATATTTACCCAAACATTTTGGAGTAAGTTGAGGATTGGATATGTGAGCCACTTGCTGCTATTTTTTGTATGTTTTTTAATAATGGGTAGGTTTATTAAAGGACTGGAAGTTGAATCACGCTATTCCTGTTTTCAAGGGAGGTGATAAAAATTGTCCAGATAATTATAAGCTTGTTAGCCTTACATAAATGGTGGAAAAAATGTTTTAAAGTCTGATAAAAGAGGCTTTGCAAAGTCATTTACTAAAGTTTGTTAGATAGTAAGTATGATTTAATTATGGTAAATTCTTGCCTTACTGATCTTTTGACATTGTTATATGAGGATACTACTTACCTAGATGAGGTTGTGGACGGGCTGTATATGTAGTATTATTTTCAGAAAGCACTTTATAAGGTATCACATAAAGGTTGTGTCAGAAATGTGTTCTATACTGTAAATGAGTTGGCTCATTGGATATAAAAGTGGCTGGAAGAAAGCAGAGGGTTGATATAAACAGAGTTCAGTCAGAGCAGATTAATGTCACAAGTAGGGTATCTAAGGGCTTAATGTTAGAACTTTTGCTGTTTTTGACTTGCATTGATAACATAGATAAAGGAAAGGTAAATAGATTACATACATTTGAGGCAGTATTAAGATACTGTTGCTGTATTTGAAGAGGATGCTGCTGCTGTACAAAAGGATTTGGATCATTTGGTGAGCTGAGTGAATATATGGCAGATAGCTTTTAGTTATTATAAATTCAAGAAAATTGTGCATTATCATAATTTGAATTATAAGCATAATTTTCATGGAAATAACCTTAACTTTATGGAAGAAAAAAATCTTGGTTTAATAGTTGATCTGTCTTTTAAGCCATCCAAGCAGTGTGCTGTTGCTAGTTGTAGGGCAAATAGAATTTTAGGTTGTAGCTACAGAAATCTTGAATACAAGTCTAAAGAGGTTGTAATTTCATTTTATACAAAATTGGTTAGGTCACATTTGGAGTGCTTTGTTCAGTCTTGGGCTCATTGCCTTATTGTCATTGGACTGTTAGAAAGGGTTCAAAAGTAGGCTACTAGGATGGTATCTGGAATGAAAAGGTTATCATACTAGGATAGGTTAAGATTTCTGGAATTGTTTTCTCATGTTAAGGAAAATAATAGTATTGTATCTTTTTTTTTGTACTTTATGGTGAGAATGGTAGGACAAGTGGACACAAATATAATTTTGGCATGGTAGAAGCTATCTGCAGCTAAGACTGTTTTTTTCTTCCAGAAAGGATTGTTATCCTTCTTTATGGATGCAGTAAGTATAAGGAAAGGCTTGATATTTGAATGATAACATCTGGCTCTGAGGATTTTTTTTAATAGTTTTGTTTAGGGGATGGGACAGCCTAAATGGTTTAATTAAATGATTAGTTAGTTCTCTAACATTTTGGTAGCTAGAGGATATGATAAAAAAGCTCAAAAGTGGATAAAAAATTGGCTTCGTAGAAACCCAGAAGTGGTCATAAATGGATATTGAGTTATTGAGAGGGCTTTTTCTTGTGATCTTTCAGTTAATTTTTCATCCCAATAACTTGCTTGTGATAAATTTGTCTAAGATTCTTGAAAGTGGAAATAGATTCTGTTGAGAATGTTTCTCTTCAAAACATAATTGACCACTCAAACAGATGACTCAAAAGAAGACTATTTTATACATTAAAAATTGTCACTTAAGTTGTTTAAGTCAGCTATGTAAGTTCATCTCAATACTTTTTCACCATGGAAATATTTTCTGAAGTGAGAGAAACTAACTTACTTTTTAATTCAGAGCTCCTATAGATAGAGCCAAGAATCAGATTTTCTTGTTTGACCAGAACTAAACATTTAGCAAAGGTCTGTCAAATTTTATTAACAATCGCACCTAAATCCTTTTTTTTTTCATGCATCAGTACACTTCTATCTCTGACATACACACACGTCCTTTTCAAGTTTGTATATTCAAAGTGAATAACATTATACATCTCAGTATTAAAACCCATTTCAATGTTCTATCATGTAGACTTGTTCTGTAGAGCTGTTCCGTCATGTAGACTTATTCTGTAGAGCTGTTCCGTCATGTAGATTTATTCTGTAGAGCTGTTCCGTCATGTAGACTTATTCTGTAGAGCTGTTCCGTCATGTAGACTTATTCTTTACAGCTGTTCCGTCATGTAGACTTATTCTTTACAGCTGTTCCGTCATGTAGACTTATTCTTTACAGCTGTTCTATCATGTAGACTTATTCTTTAGACCTAGTCTAGCATCTAGACTTAGTCTGTAAAGCTGGACATGCTTTTAGACTTATTCTTTAGACCTAGTCTAGCATCTAGACTTATTTTTTAGACCTAGTCTAGCATCAGAACTTGTTCTTTAGACCTAGTCTAGCATCAGAACTTGTTCTTTAGACCTAGTCTAGCATCTAGACTTATTCTTTAGACCTAGTCTAGCATCAGAACTTGTTCTTTAGACCTAGTCTAGCATCTAGACTTATTCTTTAGACCTAGTCTAGCATCAGAACTTGTTCTTTAGACCTAGTCTAGCATCTAGACTTGTTCTGTAAAGTACTTCTTGCATCTGGTTATTTAGAAGAGATAATCTTCTGTAGAGCTTGTTTTGTATATAAATCTCTACTGTAAAGCTTTACTGTCATCTAGACTTATTCTATAATGCTGTCATTGCATCTAGACTTGTTCTGTAGAGCTGATATAACATATAGACTTCTTCTAGCATCTAGACTTCTTCTGTAGAGCTGATATAACATACAGACTTGTTCTGTAGTGCTATTACTGTATCTACACTTATTCTTTAGAGCTGGTCTAGCATATATACTTGTTCTATAGTGCTGTTGTTACATCATGACTTGTCCTGTAGAGCAGGTGTAGTATCCTGTCCTATTCTGTAGAACAGATATTTCATCTGTACTTATTCTGTACAGTTGATCTTCTGTTCATTTTTTTAAATTCCTTCTCCATTTATCTTTTGATTCAAGAGCAACTAATCTTCTTTCTCAGAAGTCTTTGGTTTGATTTCAATAAATCAGATAAATGTATGTATTGCAGCTAGGGATTAAAACATGAAACAAAGGTGTCCATGGTATTGAAAATTTTTATACTTCATTTATCTATGTCATCAGTAAAAACACATTCCTTTATCTTAATTTTAATTTGATAAGATTGTTTTCATCTTCACCAATATGCCATTTTGACACACTGTTTTAATATGTATATTTTATAGTTTTGAGAACTATTGATTTATTGTGTCATTTTTTACAGGATAAGAAGAATATATGAAAGACAACAATGTGTCCTTGTAATGAAGTCAATTTGTTATACCAAGAAGAATGTAATGAAGTAGTCTAATAGAAAGTTTTATTTACTAACGATCTTAGTCATATATACAGAAAAAGAACGTACTACTCATAATATTGAAGTTAAGTTTGTAAAAATGTAATTGCCAGTTTATGTTGACTTATGGATACATTTGTTAATTCTTGTACATGTGAATTTAATGCAACCAATTAAGGTTCATCAGGGTTTAGTTCTTTAGAATATATGAGCATAGTGTTTAATTTCACTAATTTTCCAGTAAAAAGTAATAATTAAAAATGTATACGTGAAGCCAGTAAAGCATGACTTGAAAAAATCCATTCATGATGGAAAATGATAGAGCTACAAATACAGAAAAACAGTAGGAAATGTCTGCTTTTTTAATTAGTGTGTTATACCAAAAAAGTCATTTTAAGAAATAAGAAGGATTTATTGTTCAAATACTGTTACACTTACATTATTATCTGAATATTTCAAAGAAAACAAAGTGGGTCAAAAAACAGTTCCACATAATATTGGTATTCAGTAAGTATTGACAGTGAGTTAAAAGGTCCTTCATATAAAACTCCACTTTCAATAGAGTTGCAGTGGAATATAGATACCTCTTGTTAACAAGAATTGCTAGTAGTAGTTAATACAGGAAATTTCCTGTGTCCTAAAAGAAAATACAAAATAACCTTTTATTTACTGAATAAAGACTCTGAGAACCATAAACATTTCATGATGTATTATGATTCAGAAAAAACAGAAATTGAAGAAATGTCAGCTAAGTTTGAGTCATATGAAAAGAAAGTTTCCACACCAAATCCTGCCCTTAAAAGAGTAAGCCTAGATTGTGAAGCAGTATCCATTTTAAAAGTTTCAGATAATTTTGAAGAAGAAAAAAAACCTTCAATTTTAAAAAAAAAGGAAGCACGAAGGACAAAGAAAGATCTCATCATTCAACAGAATTACAATCTATATTGAAAAAGCCTGCTGTGAGAAGAATTAAGACTCAGAATAGCAGTCTAGACTTTTACCCTATTTTAAAATGTAAGAGTCTTGATGATAGCACTCAGTTACACATGATTGAGCTTAAACCCATTTTGAAAAAGCGAAATAGTGCAGAGGAACTTAAAGGTGAGGTTGTTGGAGAACAACGCCCCATCATGAAAAAAAAGTCTCTCTTAGGAGATGATGTAGAGGAAAAACCAAAGTCCATCCTAAAGAATCGGGTAAGAAGTCAAGAGGAAAGTGATATTAAAACAGATATAGTTAGAGTTACAAGGCCTAGATCTGATTCTGAACCAGGAATAAGATCAATACTGAAGAAATCAACTTTTGAAGATGAACCTGTTAAACCTCTGTCAATTCTTAGACCCCATTTTCCTGATTCTTCAGCACTGAAAACATCATTTGATAATCTTTTTGTGGAAAATAAACTTCCATCAATTTTAAAAAATCCTTTGCCATTGTGTCATCAAGAAGATGATGAAAAGTTGCTTTCTAAGAAAGATCACCTTCAGAATACTGGTTTAAATATTTTCGGTGATGTTGAACACCCTCAGTCCATTTTAAAGCACAGGAACTTTTCTCAAGGTGATGTCACTCAAACACAACCTGTACTAAAGAAAAACTCAAAAGATTATTCATTATCGGTTGTTAATCAGAACATCGGACTAAAATCATTCATGAGAACAAGAAGAAAAAGTGATTCTCCAGAATCAGATATGATACTAGCAAGTAGTGTTGTAATTATTTCTTCTGACAAACAATGCTCCAATGAAAGTAGTACATCTGAAGCAGAAAGAACAAAATGTTTACAAACTGAACAACGTGTTATTAAATCAACATTGTCACATACTGATAGTGCAGTGCAAACAACAGAAAGTGGACTTGGATGAGTTAATTCTTCTGTTTCAGGGATAACAGTCATGTAACTAATCTAATAACCATGTGTAATTTCAATTCTTACATATAACTGTACATTCTTTATTGCAAGATAATTATCCAACAGGATAAAGTGAATGCATACATTCTTCAAAAACATATCAGTGCTAAGATAGAGTAGGGAAATATAGACTTTGTTATCTTTAAGCAGTTTATTATTTTTTTTCATACAGTATTTTTGGATACAAAAGCTACTAAAATAATGATAACCATAAAGATGTGATATTAACAAGGAAGGAAATGTGGGGCACATTTATAGAAAACCTGGTATGGAGTTTTTTGTTTTTTTCAAAAGCAGTTTGTTATTATATCTATTTTGTTATTTAGAGCTTAAAAAGTATTGGCTTTAATGATTGGTTTGTTAGTGCAATAAAAAAAATGAATTTTTGTATTTTAAGCACTGTTTATTGTTGCAATAACATATTAAGCTTTATTAACAATTGCAAGTAAACCTTGAAACAGATGAATAAAAATCCAATTTATTTATAATCTGTTTGTTGGACAAATGTATATATATATATATGTGTGTGTGTGTGTGATAGATTAATGTAAAAAAAAAAATGTGTTATTTATCAGGAATTTTAAACACATTACTCTCTCAAAATTCATAAATTCAGAGAATCACAATTTTGAACCATTTTTCATGGTTTCATGACTTTAGCTATAAAGTTGGTTATAATTTTATGTTTCATGTACTTTAGAGCAAGGTAAGGCTTTTGTTATAATCTAGGCATAAATGACCATTGAATTTTTATTTATAATTGATTACATAGGATCATCTATACTTAATTAGAAAATTATTTGCTTTAAGTTTAAGTATTGAAGTTTATCTGTTAGGCTGAAACTGTTTTACAGAATTAAAGTGTGTATTGTGAGATACTGTAGTCATGTAGTGTACTGGATATTGTCTGGCAGATTTATTCACATTTGTTTTATTAAAGGAGTTTAGTCTTTTTTTTAGGCTGTATATGTGACATGAAAGTAAATTATAACTTGTTTTATTGCAATGTAGATTCCAATCTAGAAATAATACATACACAGTCATGTTATCATTAAAACAAAAGTAATCTACATGTATATGTATTTTTTATAGAGCACAAGAAAATACATGTTAATTTCTCCATAAGATGTCACCCTCTTCTGATTATTGTGATGGTTCCATTTTACCAGTACCAGTGTGTCCTGATTATACCTTTTCATCTACATTCAGTAAACTTTGTGTATATGTTACATCACCTGAAAACCAAGTTCTATTGTCCCTTCAAGTAGCTTACCTCAAGTTCATAATGGCTGTTCTTTATCAGCTTGACTTACTGCGGTAAAATTCTCATTTGTGATAAGTACTTTATACCTTAAGATATGTTGTGCAATACCTTATGAACTCTGAACTTTCCCAGAAATATCGTATACCTATCAAACTGAGACATGTGCCTTATAGAAGGTGTCGCAAGGAAGAAAACCAGATTGGCTCACAAATACAAATAGTATGAGGCAGGCCTCGACAAATTCTGGACATCAGGTCACCATGGCGACTAAACTTTTCATCATGGTGCCTAGTATTTTCTCCCATTTTATTCGTACATAGGGTTATGCTAAATAGAACTCGAATCTAGAACAGTTCTGGACTTTTGGAAGTCTGGAACTATTTTCACGTATTTTGAGTCCTAAGTTGAACTTTGTTTCTAGGATGTTATTAGCGGATTCAACACTTCATGTTTTATCGGGAATGACGCACGGCTGTTGCACGACACATTACTAATTTCATGCCACTTTGTTTTTCTTCATCTCAGTTCAATCAATCAGTGTGTGTGTCTTTATACTTGGACGGGACCAAAGACAGTTACTTCAGGCAATACTATCAAGTTGTTGTTGATATCATGTGATCATTAGCATGCACTCGTCTCTGTAAAAGTAAATAAATAGCCCCCATTTCCTGGTACAAACAGTAGTGAAAAAAGTTAGGTTAGGCACCTGAGTTTTTGGGCTGGCTCCTAGATCTGAAAATATTTGTTGAGGCCTGGTATATGTGATAAAATTAAAGAAAAGCGTTATAAATTTGAGAAGTTTAAATTGATGGCTATGATGGGAAACATAGATGATTAAGGAAGATCAGGAGAGTTGGTCAAACTGGACATTAGATTGTCAAAAGGGTTAGCTGAAATTGTAAAAAATAACAGTAAGAATTTCATTGGATACATCAACCTCCTTAGTATTCTTATACTTGTGAATTTTTTGTCACTTTTTTTTTTTTGCAAAATTTTCAGTTCCTTTATTATGAAGTTAAATGTACAAGACATGTATATATATTAACAAAACAGGTAGAAGCCACTCATATTTATATTGCATGCACTGAAGGGATAAATACAGGGAGGGTCCAGGAAGTCTGGATTCCCTCCCCTCCCTCCTTTTTTTGGGAGAGCTTTCTCTAAAAAAATTGGGAAATTCTAAAGAACATTTGCAAAACTGACTTAGAAAAAAACCACTTCCAACCCCTTTCCAGCCAGAACCCAGCTTCCTTTTCTAAAAATTCTGTGTTCATATCTTACAGGTGCATCATACTACTTCTACGTAAGAAATAAAATGGAATTACATAAATTGCAATAATCAGCAGTTCTTTGGTGTGATAGTCCTAGAAACAGGAAAATAATTGAATATAAATTTATGTTAAATAATAAAGAAACTTTAACATTTATTTAATTGTAATCTTGCTGCAGTGATTAGATATTTGGATTTGGTGTTGTTGTACTTGAAGAAGGACAATGCACACAAGGAATCCAAGATTGCATTAAGGCCAGAGGAGGTCATAAGTGTGTGTACTGGCTCTACCCACAGTGTTTAGTGATGTCAAGTAGTAGTAGAAGCATACATCAGAAAAACTCGGACTAAACTTTGCAGAATCAGAAAGTAAAGTTTACCCCGAGACTATCCCAGGATGAACAATTTTTGTTCAGCTTACTCACCCCAAGACTGTCTCAGGGTAATTGTCAAGGAGGTTAAGAATAAGCAAAATGTTAGGCTGGGAGTAGGATCTTTAGGGAATTTTAAATGAGGGCTAATTTCTGATGATGGTTAATCAAATTCTACTTTTTCTAATGTTTTACTAATGAAGATTTAAGTAGAATTCCTCATTTTGAATAGTTGATAGATGGAAACAAGATGATCACATTAATTCTGAGCTTGTGAAGAAAATACTTTGAAGTTTAAATAATTATAAAGCTCCTGGGCCAGATAATATTTCCCCAAGAGTTTGAAAGAGGTTAAGGATTGGATATGTTCTTGTAAGTCCTTGAATAACATCCAGGTATTGAGGGATTGGAAATTGGCCAATGCTACAACCTCTTTCGGGGGGGGGGGGCATAAAAACTGTCCATCCATTAAATTATAGGCCTTTTAGTCTTACATCAGTGGTAGTAAAAGGGGAACCAAATATAGTGTTTGGCATCGTAGAAGTAATCTTCAGTTAAAACAGCTTTAACTTTTCTAACAGGATCGCTAGCCATCATAAAGGATGTCTTGAGATATGATGGATGCAGTACATTTAAGAAAGTTTAAGAGAAGGCTTGATAAATGTTTAATTGTAAGGGATGGCTTTGAGTTTTGTATTTTATTTAGTTTAATTTATTGGATGTCACATCTTCAATGAATCAACAGGAGGCACTTTATTATCCTAAAATGTTATACAGGTTGAGAGCCACCTAGTTGTAGAACCTACATATTTCTATGCACCAGAAGGACATACAGGATGAAATTTGTAGAAAAAAATATTATACACCAAAGAAACCAGTAGTAATAGTGCTACTGTTTTTAGGACATTTGGAACATTGAAAAAAATAAAGCTGTAACAACAGGTACACCTTTTTAATAGGCTGAATTCAAATGTACTTTTAGGTCCACTGTTAGAAAAATCTTTTTTCATTTCAAGGGTGTAATACTTAAAAATAAGAGTTCATTTCTTAGCTTCAAATTTTTTACGTGCATATGAATACATAGGCTCTACGACCAATTGAATCTCAACTGGTATAAAGGAACATGTTACTGGGAAATTACACATACTTGTCAAGTATCACATGAAATATATTAAAATGTAATGTACCCACACCAGTGGAAATTTCACTATAATAGGATTAAGCTGATGATGAAGAGTAATTATGAATTTGGGAGAAGTCTTCGAAGAGACAATATTGTTTGAGAGATTGCTAATAGGAGACATAGTAAATGTATATCAGCTAACAGAATTCAGCAGTACTGCTCTTCTTAAAAGTGTAAATTTTGAGGTCACAATTCAATGGTCACTTGTTTGTCAAACCTCATGACTTGTTTTGGTACCCTCTCCTTTTTCTGTACTTCAGGGGGATGGAACCATATACACTGTGTAAAATTACAAAAGTAAAAGAAGTTATAGTGTTAGACAAACAGGTACATTTAGAAAGTCCCTTGTCTTGGAGTGAATCTTAAAAGTAAAAATGCACAGAAATTTATAGTACAAACGGAGTATTTCTACTCAGGCAGTATTCTGATAGAATATCAGTCATGAGTAGATGCTGTTTGTAAGTAAGCATACAGCTATCAGTTCTTTTAGATTTATCTGTAAATACATTTGAACTTTAATGTAATTTGTATGTTTAAGAAATGGACTAAAACCACTTGGTTATGCTACTATGAAACTATTGTGATAATGCTCACTTTACTTGAACAAAAACTTGTTATTACTGAATTATTTTCTTGAATAAACTTTTATTTTAAAAAAATGGGTTTTGTTTAATAACCTGATATTTTTATTGATTTTATTAACCGTTTGAGCACTTTTTTTTTGGTAGGTTTGATATACACAACACATGTGGTATAAAAACACAAAATAGGTAATTTGTCTCTCTACATTTCCAGGTATTTTTATTTTATGCTTGTAACTTATTATTAATAGTGTTCTTGAAAAATTGTAAATAATTTGGTTGTGGAGATTTTTCTTTAAACAAATGTTGAAACTGTAAAGAAATTGTCCATATGATACTATCAGTAATTTCAGGAAGTGTTTTATCTCACATCAATAAAAGGCTATCACAACACAAAAAATATGGTACAAATCTTTTATTGCCTTATAGTGATTTTGAACTTATAGCTTAAGATATTCATCATACAGCATCAGACAAAAAGAACACTATCTGTAAAACGTGTATATACCCAGTTTTACTTCTAAAACTGAAGGGTAATGGTATTCCCTGTCCATGTGCAGAGCAATTTCTAGCTAGATTTAGGTATCTGCTATTTCTTAACTAGTCAAATTGATATACATCAGATTTAGGACATACTACTAATAAAGTTAACTCATTCCTTACATTCACAACTGTTCATGGGGTTCTTGTCTAATAGAAATAAAATAGTTTAGGATAATTACTCTCTCATCGTATAATTCTGGTATTCTATTCCTAATCTCTAAAATTATTACATAGATGCAAGTTACTATGAGTACTGAATAAATTCCTGAGTTAGAAACATAGATGCAAGTTACTATGAGTACTGGATAAATTCCTGAGTTAGAATCGCACACTTGAATGGGTCCCTTTATGCATCTTAAAATTTCTTCCATCATTTCTCTCCCCCCCCCCCCAGTGGTATGTCTGCAGACTTACAATGACAGAAACCGGGTTTCAATACCCGTGACGGGCAGAGCACAGATAGCCCATTGTGTAGCTTTGTGCTTACCCGTCATTTCTAAATAAGTATGCCGATCACTTGAAACAGCGATATATGGGTTTTAACTTTCTATAATTAAAGGTGTTTAATGCTAACGGTAAGTTTACAATTCTGTATAGCTTGAACATTCTGTCTGTTGCTTTCAATGGTTTCTCCATAAACATTCTTAAAGTAAATAAAGATTCATAAATCGTCTGTCGTTGCGGTTCCAAATAAGAATTTTAAAACGCTTCCACCGGCATTTATCAAACCAAGTCTTTGAATAAATACATTTGTTAAAAAC